AACTATCTACAACTAACACGAGATCATCGGAAATGTACATCTGGAGCATGGTAGGGAGGAAGAACAATTCAGCCAGAGGGGCAAACTGCAATGATATATATATATATATATAATCATGAAATGGTGGACTGTTTCAACCAAAACCTTGCAGCATCTGGAATTGTACATCAAGTATGCAGTAGGAAAGGCATCACACCATCTACACATGATACTAATCGTGACTGGGCCATGTCTAGCCAGAATCAGAATACACCAGAGTCACCTGCAGAATGCCACCACCTTACTGTCAACTGAGTGGTATAATTCATAACTAAGGAGGATAGGCCTCCATGGTCCACCACTTCAGTGGCTGGTAACTGGTAAGGACTCCCATATTCCACTAGAAGAAATAGGGGAAAACATGTTGGAGAATCTGAAGGACTGCATCACTGGAGACAGTGCAATAGGTGACCACAATATCCTATTTTGAAAAGCAGAGCTACCATGTCGACAGAGTCGATCAACCAAAACTAGGCAGAATCTGGAATTGTACATCATGTCAACAGTAGGAAGAGTTTCAAAGCTATGGAGAATCTGAGATGGGCAGCAATCTCTTTCTACTTTATTAATGTTAGTCCATGAGTGTACAGTCCGGGACGACCATATATATGACATTTCTGAAATATGAGTTGGCTTGAATTTCACAGTAATTTAATATTTTGGAACATCAAACTACAATGGTATGCCATTAATATATCATGTATACCAAACAGTTATTTGATTAAATGTGATATTTAGTGATGCATATCTGCAAAAGAAAAGTGCAGTTGATATTTGTTAGGTGAATGAATTTATATTTTTGTCAAATCTTTAAACAAACAAATTTTTAACCACTGCTTATAGCTCCCTTTGAGCACCATGCTCATCTTCACATATTTTTGGTATTTTTACCTAAATATCACATATGTAAAATTGTATTCCCATCTACCCTATAGGATCAAAGTTACTGACAGGAATGTTGGGAACATGAGAGTGCAAATAGTTACAAAGAATGGTTGTGTACATGATATGAGTGTTTCCAGACAAAGTATTAGAGGTTTACAGCTCAATGCCCTCATAACAAATGACAACTACAAAAAAATCACCACTCTTCTCCTCTAGTGCTGGGTGTAATTGGGTGAATTTGAATGCACACCCATGATGAAAGAGTGAGCACAGAGGATCATCAAAAAAAGTAAAGTGGATTTCAAAAGACCCAGACATTTGAGCACTTTTAATTAAGTGATTCTTCTTCTTGAGGAGTAAAAATGGTAAAGGTTAACCAAATGTGCAAGAATTGGCCCAACTGATGACCCTGTATTGGAAAAGAAATTTTGAATATATAATTCAAAATTTGCTCGTGTGTCTGCACAAAATGTGGCAAGCTTTTAAAAAAAATTTACAAGTCTGTTTTACACAAAATCTCAAATGTGTTACAGAAGTATTTGTAAAGTTTTTTGGTGTACAAAACTTGAAGATAGCTTTTATACGCTGAAACAACTCAGCTAACAGATGTTTCCGCATATAAAAGCCTTCAAGAAGTATTTGTACTCAAGATATACTTGTCTAAAATCTGACATCATCAGTCTGATTCAGACGAGTTGGAGTGAAAAGTGATGTTTTTGTGATAAACAAAAATATTTTTATAAATAGTACAGTTTTCTTATTGCATAACTTCTAGATCCTTCAAAATTCACATCTACAGTTGTTTTTCACTATTCCTGTGTATTGTATTTGGAATTTACTCTCCTCTACAAGGAACTATTGCCAAGTCAGTAATGTAAGGTAAAACGAATAGTTGATAACTTTGACATCAAATACACGATACCATGGCAAATGGCACCTTGACTTCCCACCTGTGTACATACAGTTAAAGAGTGTGGGATATGTGGGGTAATAAATAGGCAAAAGAGGTACATGTCACTTGATCAGGAAGTGTTTTTGATGTGGCATGAAAGCTGACCAATCACTATTAAAAAAGAAAATGGAAATGTCAAAAGCACATTTAGGTCAGGGTTACAAACTACTGGGAAGTATGATGAAGGTGAAAAAAATTACGTCCATATAGGAAGAAATATTTATAACTCAAGACTAAGGTAGAAATATAAAAAGTATACTCTCTAACATATATAAAAAGAGGAAACAGATTATTTAAAAGAATAAAAGTTCCGACCCATTAAAATTAGAAAGGATCAAAATTCAAATGAAAACCTTCTTTCAACAAGCTTAATTTATTCATTAATTACTATTCAAGGGTCAAAACAACTATAAAGAAACAGAAAACAATAAAAATATTGATTAGCCCTTGTACGTTTACAAAATGGTGAATAATAATTCAGAAAGGAAAGGAAGGTGAGTAACTGTAGGTTAAATAGCATGCGTGTAAATGAAACAAATTAATTTTGGAACTTTTTTAGAAATGTACCCAGGTCAACAATCCCAGGGTTAAATTTGATGCCATTTAGCATTACAGTAAGGTTCAAATCAAATAATCATGTGAAACATTTGCATCACCATAATGTAAATAAGGCAGTAAATAGGTTTCATAATTTATTTCCAATAACTAAACCACAGGCTCTCAAGTGACATCAATTATTTTTAGCAACAAGATGATAATGAATAAAGCATTTTCATAAAGCATGTACTAGTAATTAATATCTTCTGATCAAAGCAAGCTACCTAAATAGATCAGAACTAAAAATATTCCAAGTAATGAGCATAGCTAATTGAATATGTTATTCCAACTATCTTTCCTACAATGATTAAGAATATATAGTTACATCAGTTGGGTACCCCTGCTGTAAACAATATTTTTGGCCAGAAACCCAAGAAAACTGAAATTTACAACTGTTTTTTTTTTAACAACTTAAGTTTGCCTGCTATAAGTTATGTGTGCATAAGTAGAAGAACACTAAATGCCTTTTTATAACTAATACATAACATTTTTTAATGTGTTTTTCTTTATAAAAAAGATATCAGTTATGAAGTAAGCGAGCCTTACTTTTTGAAATTTTGTAGGCTCATAACTTTTATAATAATAAAGTAATTCTGATAAACTTAGGCCATGAAAAATTAGTCTCAGATAATTACAATTATATCAACAAATAGTCTCAAAATGTAAAAACAAAACACCTGATAGTCAAAATATGTCATGCTCCTACATGTAAATGCTGACAGGAAAAATGGTTAACAGTAACAAACATCATATGAAGAAAAAATAACTGGTGTATCAGTGAATATATGAATACTAACTAAAGGTGTGGTGATACAGCAATACAAATATCGTATCATGAAACCATGATACAACTGTATCAATATATCATCCAATATGATACCAAATTTGGCAAGCTTTCAGTAAACATTACAAGTCTTTTGTACAGAATAAATCAAAATTTCTAATAAAGTATTTTTGCTAAATATTAACGATTCAATAAAGGAAGATGAGTATTGAGTACTT